AAAGACAAAGCCAAATGACTGAGTATAGGTTTTGGCGTCATCAAAAAGGGGGAAAATTGATAGGAATATTTTTGTAAGTTTTGATGAGCCAAATGTAATTTAGATCCCCTTAGTGTTTAAGTCTTTAGTACAAGCATCATAAATCAGAATAATGAAATCCGAAGGAATCTACCATAGGAAGAACAAAATTATTTTGGGAAATTAATTTTGGTCTTACAAGTATTCATCCGTGAAAGAGGATAAAACAATAGTGTTGCAAGGAATGACCGAATGAGCCTAACGGCAAAATGGTAGAGGTCCTTACTCTAAACGATCACACCCGAGATCGATTCCCCCCAAGGACCTATATTTTTATAAGGCAGATTTTCGAAGGAGCACAATGTATTCAAGAAGAGCTCAGTGCGTTTTAAAAGAGCACAATGTGTGCAAAAGGAGCATGATGTGTTCGAAGGAGCACGATGTGTTGAAAAGAGCACAATGTGTGCTAAGGAGCACGATGTCTACCAAAGAAGCACAATGTGAACAAATCTGAAAGGAGCACAATGCGAAGGTGCACAATGCCACCTAAGGAGCACAATGTTGTCAAAGGAGCACAATGTCATCTAAGAAGCACAATGTATCTAAAGAAGCACAATGCTCAAAGTCAAGGAGCACGATGCTCAAAGTCAAGGAGCACAATGTGGCAAAAGAGCAAGATGATTAGAAATTTGATAAATTCGAAGGAATTTATTCTAAGTCTACCCACATGCCACAAGACTCCAAAATTGCCTGAAAGACATTTGATCAGAACGGAAAAATATTTATGAAGGCATGAATATAAAAACTTATCCTAGAAATAAATTCTATCAGATGAATTTATTTCAAAGATTCGTTGGATATTCAAATTGACAATCAAAGTAATATTTTTAGGAACAACTAGAAAATCAAAGTTGTGCTAAAAATTTACTTTGTCAGGCAAGTTGACAAATCAAATCAAAATTGAAGATCTACTACTGTCAACATCATCAGGCTATGAAGATTCAAAATTCAAATATCAAATTATCCCACTCCAACGGATATATTTGATTATCTATAAAGAGGCCATGAAGACTTGAAGACAAACAGAGAGGTGAATAAGCAGAGCAGAGATAGAAGTGAACGAAATATAAGTGCAAAATTCAAAAGTGCTAGTGCTCAAAATATTCTAAGAGACTTAGTCTGAATAGTCTCATATCTAGTTGGAGAGAGAAATACAAATCCTTGTATTTGTAAACTGTAGAAAGAGTATAGCTGTGTGCAAAATACTCTAGTGAGTGTAGCTGTGTGCAAAACACTCGTAGTTGCTAAGTGTAGCTGTGTGCAAGACACTTAGTTGGCGTTGAGTATAGCTGTGTGCGAAATACTCGAAGTTGAGTATAGCTGTGTGCGAAATACTCGAAGTTAAGTGTAGCTGTGTGCGAGACACTTGGAGTTGGGTGTAGCTGTGTGCAAGACATCCGGAAGAAGTGCCTGTGTAGCACTTGTTCACTATTGTAACTGTGTGTGGAAAATAGTGAATTTCTCCTAGACGTGAAAGGAGAAAAGTGGACTAGGAAGATTACGCCACTTCCGAACCACTATAAACTGCTTCTCTCATTTACATACCGCACTTACATTATTTGCTATATCTATCTATCTCATCTGACTAACCCGTTTACTATTCACAGTTTATCTTAATCATCCGGGTTTAGTATGTTCTCACGTATGCATGTTACTAAAACTTCTCGAGCTTAAATATTGAATTATTCTAAGCAAGTTTGACGTGTTGCATGTAACATTCGTCACACGGACGACGTGATACGATATTTATTTACAATCTTGAATATTGTTATTACATATTGAGTGCACCATCTCTTATACATATTCAAGATATCTCTGTCACCTTTCATATCACCTGTACCTATCTTATACTTGCACATTTAACTTGTTGATTGGGCATAACTCTTTATTTACTATTATTCCACTGTGCAGTACAAACTTGCTCTATTTATTTGTTACATAGAGTTAAAGTTACCAAAGAGTTATTTAATTTGAAAAAGCTTGAAAGTCTATTCACCCCCCCCCCCTCTAGACTTTCACCAACCTATCGGGACCAACAGCAGGCTATATGTAACACCCCGTGTTACGGCCTTCAATCCTGGATTAATTATTTAATTAATCCCGCTAATAATAATTAAATATGATTTAATTATGTTAGGTTTCCCTTTAATTAATTAATAGGGTCCACCGTGAACCGTGGACCCTTGCCTAAATTAGAGGCTTAAGCCTATTAGGAATAAAGAAAGTAAACCTTTTACTATTCAGATCCTAATTAGGAATCCTAGACATAGTTATCTATTAGGAATAAAGGAAGTAGGCCTTTTACTATTCAGATTATGATTAGGATCCGCTTTAATTAATATGGTCCAATGTGGACCATGGACCCCTATCCCTAAAACAAGTCCCTAGTCCTATAAGGAATAGAATTAGTAAACCCATACCATTCAGACCCTAATTAGGAGTGTTAAATATATAAATAGGGAACTTAGGAGGCACCTAGAATTCCCACCACAATAATCTCTCACCACCCAAAGAGCTCCAAGAATTCCCCTAGGAGAAATCAAGAAATCAAGAAAGCTTAAAGAAAGATCCTTCATAGCCAAGGAATTAATTAAGGCTAAGAGGTAACCCATGTCTCAACAAAACCTATTTTCATAGCTATGATTCCCCCTTAGGGTTTCCCCCATGTTATTGTGAATGGCGAGATTTTATGATTATTATTGACGATTGATATGATGATCCCATGCGGGATCTTGATAATCTTGATATTGGGAGTTTCTTGATAATTATGATGTTCTTGATGATTAATTGGGATTCTTGATGATTATGTGTTGTTCTTGATAATTGTGTGATGCTCTTGATGCTTAGGTGTTATTCTTACCGAATCTTGCAATTAGAAGACGAATCGTATTCTTGTTGATATAAAAGTGATTAGAACCCTAGGTTGTATCGTATGATATTATTCTTGGATTATCGGGTGGGGAAATCGCATGTTTGGGTGTTGATTATGTTTAGAAAAGCATGATAGGCTATGTGCCGTTCGTTTCTCGTATTTGATCCGTTAATTGTCTACGTGTTGTCGTTAATTGCGTTGTAAAGTGTCTAAGCATGGTTTCGGGTTCCATAACGGTTCCCGGGGCGTATTTGATGAAAAAGAGTCAGTGGGGGGTAGGTGGGGGGTGGGGGACCCGCCACCTACCCGACGCCGTGAACCACCGCCTGGCAGCGGGTGGCCGGCAGGCGGGCAGCTGCCCGCCGGCGACCCGCTGCCCGGAACAGTAATCCCGGCGGGCAGCCGGCGGGTGGCCCCCCACCCACCGGCTACCCGCTGGAAATTTATCCCACTTGGGACTTCGGCTTCCCCGTTTGATGTTTCCCTGATCCCCGTGGTGTCCCAACGGACTCCGTTTATCGCGCCTATGTCTAGTTTGATATTTCGGGTACCGTTCGTAGGTTTACGAGTCTATTATATTGCATGCTAGTTGAATTGGTATCCCGTTGACCTAGGTGGAAGGAGTATGAACCCCATAGGACTATTCTTAGTATGTGATGGATCACGCATAGGTTTTGTTATACGATTTATCCCCCTTCCCAATGTGTAATGTGGGTTGCATGTGCTTGCTACGTGTTATGTGTGTGTGTTAACCCAATTCGGTTGCGATCGGATTGGTTATCCTGAGCTGCGGTTCAGAAGCTGGCTGCGGTCAGATTGGTATTCCTGGCTGCGGTCAGATGACATTCTCTCGGGCTGCGGTCCACCGTTTGGTTGCGATCAAACGTTTCTATACGAGCTGCGATTCGTCCTTTATCCTGGCTGCAGTCAGATGACACTCTCTTGGGCTGCGGTCCACTGTTTGGTTGCGATCAAACATTATGATGAGCTGCGGTTCATCGGTCGGTTGCGATCGACCTCCCCGTGTTGCGATACAGGGCATGGTGCTGTGGGGCCATGTCAGAGCTATATGCGCTGACCCGCATGTATGGGCATGCGAGCGGTCCTGTGGCGCCAACAAAGTGCGTTATGTGTTGTGATATCGATGAGTTGTGATTACGAGTATCTTGGGGGATGTGACTATGGGATTTAGGTTGGGGATTGCTTATGTTGGGTTATGACTATTGTTATGCTTTACCTTATCTGTTGTGAGCTGCATATGCTCGTTATATCTGTTGACTAGCCTTATCTGTCGAGTCATTCCCGGTTTTGAAAGCTAGAGTTCGTAGGATATATCTTCATGCTCAAAATGGTTTTCGTATATCTATATATATCTCTATATGCATTGTATTTCAACGCGTTGGAGTGGGTTACCAGCATCTCTCGCTGAACAGATATATTTGGCTTTCAGGCACAGAAGATTAAGTCACTGGAGCGCGCTAGAACTCGGAGTGTAGAAATAGATAGTTTCCCTTTCGGCCTGCGTGCCATGTTTATACATTTATGCTTTTGAGGATATTAGTTAGTTAGCCTGTGCATCTGGGTTCTCTAGCCCAGGTGTGGCAGAGCACCCCGAACACTTGTATTATATTCTGGGATTTAATAAGATTCTACCTTTATTATAAGCTTTAAAAAGTCTTGAAAATCTGGGGTGTTACACTATAAATAGCCCCTAATATAGCTCTTCTCTGTAACATTGACAATTCTCAGATAATACAGTGTCTTCTTCTTCCTTTTTCTCCAAGAATCTTCTTCCATTATTCTGTAAATAACCTTCCAAATATGGTATCAGAGTTACGCAATCGAAGCTTTGCAGCTGTCGTTTAAGCAATTGGCGACGACAGCGCGACGGCACCAATGCCAGGACAACAGCATCAGACACCGGCCAATTCATCTCTCCATCGACCTACTAATGCAGAAGACTATCGCAATCCTTTGTTTATCCATATCAATGAGAATACGAACGTCGTACTTGTTAGTCCGCCTCTCTTAGGAGTAAATTACAGTTCGTGGAGATGGCTCTTCAAGTGAGGAACAAGTGGGGACTGATCAACGGCACGATTCCGTCTCCGGCAATAGATGATCCTGAGTTCAAAACTTGGAATCGATGCGATATTATGGTAAGATCTTGGATCCTTAAGTCTATTAGCCCATCAATTGCTCAAAGTGTTATGTACATTGGACGAGCTAGAGATATTTGGAAGGATGTGAAGAACAGGTTCTCCCAAGCAGATCCGCATAGGATCTCTCTTCAGGACGAGATTTATAATCTGAAACAAGGCTCCTATAGTGTAACTAATTATTACACTCACTGCATAACTCTGTGGGAAGATATGAGTATCTTGAGACCACTTCTAATTTGTGAGTGTACTCCTAAATGTTCCTGTGAACTGATTACTAGGATCAGAAAAGAAAAGATGAGGATAATGTGATTCATTTTTTGAAAGGCTTAAATGAGGAGTTTGCTAGTATAAAATCAGGAGTACTTATTCTAGATCCAATGCCTCATGTGGATAAGGTTTTTGGTATGGCTATCAAATTAGAAAGACAATTGTTGGGTGCTGGAAACATCAATATCGTCAAGGAACCTATACATGCTAATGCAATACTTACTGAAGCAATGACTGATAGAGTGATTGCTGTTGTGGGAAACTTGAACACAGGAAATAATGTAAGGAGGTTCATTCCTAATAGTGCTAACAAGTATTCAAAATGCACCTACTGTGGAATGATAGGTCATACGATTGAAAGATGTTACAAAAAACACGGATATCCACTAGGTTGGATACCAGGTTATAAAACCAAGAATAAGCAGACTCAAAATCTGGGAAACACAATATCTGCATATGTCATCACCAATCAACCTACTACTAGTACCGGTCAAGACATTGGCATTGGGATTTCATCTGAACAGTTTCAAAAGCTGGTGTCCATGATACAAAACAAAGTTGGCCACACTGTTCCAAACACATCCACTGCAGCCACAGTTACCACCACAGCTTTTGGTTTGACAACAAACCTTAAGGCCACAGGGAGGCAATCATCTGAAGGTGAGTATACCTTTGTTGCTACCGTTAATACGTTGATGAAACAATCTAATGTTTGGATATTGGACACTGGGGCAACAGATCACATAGTTTGTAGTTTGAGTTATTTTGATGAGTATGTCAATGTTTAGTGTACTATGGTTAATATGCCAAATGGTGATCATGCTCCCGTCACACATATGGGGAATATAAAACTCTCTGAAGGTTTTTGGTTACAAAACGTGCTCTATATTCCTACTTTTAGCTTTAACATTGTTTGAGTTAGTAAATTGACTAAACGCTCACCATGTAGTTTAATTGTGATGGCTGATAAATGCTTAATCCAGGAGGGACCTGGTACGAAGATGATTGGTTTTGCTAAAGATGAGAAATGACTCTATCACTTGATTAATCCACCCCAGAAGAAAGAGAGTTTTCCTTCATTTTCTACTGAAATGCAGTGTTGTTCTGTGAGTTTAGAAGTTTGGCATTATAGACTTGGGCATTTCCCTATTAATAAGATGCATTTTTTACATGATGTTCAGTGTTCTTTTCCTACTAAGGATTTGATTTGTGACGTTTGCCATTTTGCAAAGCATAAGAGGATGAGTGTGGAATGTGATTGATTGAATTGAACAACCGTAAAGAGATACAGAGATACAAGATAAAAAGTTCCTATCTAATAGGCTAAGGAATAGATAAACTAATCTATGCCACAGGAAACAATAATTAAATACATAATATGACTATACTAACACTCCCCCTCAAGCACAAGGTTGGTGAGCTGCAACATTGAGTTTGTCCTGAAGTGTCCCGAAGCGCGCTACCGGAAGCGGTTTGGTGAAGATATCCGCTAGCTGGTCCTTCGTAGAGACAAAATTGACCTGAAACTCACCAGAAGCCACCTTGTCCCCAACGAAGTGGTAATCAACCTCGACATGCTTGGTGCGAGCATGAAAAAGTGGGTTCACGCATAGTTAAGTGGCGCCGAGATTGTCGCACCACAGAGTCGACGCGGTGGAGGAGTGTAAGCCAAGCTCACGTAGCAAGGAAACGACCCAGGTAACCTCGGCACACACATCGACTAGACCTTTATACTCAGCTTCTGTTGACGAGCGAGCCTTAGTCCGCTGTTTGCGGGAGACCCATGAGATCAGATTGGAGCCCAAAAACATGGCATACCCGTTGGTGAACTTCCGATCAACAGGACACCCAGCCCAATCAGAGTCAAAATAGGCGTGAATGTTAGAGGATGACGCGAAAGAGAGTCGTAAACCATAGTCAAACGTGCCTTTGATATAACAGAGCACACGCTTGAGTAATGCCCAATGCTCGTTGGTTGGGGTGTGCATGAACTGGAAGAGGCGATTGACAACGTAGGACAGGCCGGGGTGAGTGATAGTGAGATACTATAGTGCCCCGACTAAACGCCGATATTGTGTTGGGTATTCAAAGGGGTCAGTGGACTGAATCACGGGCTGCGTGACAGCTGCTGGGGTCGCTAGAGGCTTACATTCAGTCATACCTGCTCGATTCAATATATCACACAATAACGCCGTTTTGAGAGAAACAGGCCACCTGAGACAGAAATAGTTTCAATACCAAGGAAAAAGGTAGGTATCCCTATGCCTCGGATCTTGAACGTAGACGAAAGGAGGTGGAGCAGAGAGTTAACCAGAACCGTGTCATTGCCCAACATGATGATGTCATCCACGTAGACTAGTAAGAATACTCGGGAATCGCTGGATGAATAGTGGAAAAGTGACACATCAGTCTTCGAAGCAACAAAACCTGTGAGGTGTAAGAAATCGTGCAGTCGTTTGAACCAAGCCCGTGGGGTTTGCTTTAATCCTTAAAAAGACCGTTGCAGGTGACAGACATGATCCAGATGATCGGGATTTTCATACCCTGGCGGTTGACGCATGTACACGGTTTTCGCCAAGTGCCTGTTTAGGAAGGCATTGTGAACATCTAATTGACGCAGCGTCCAACCTCGGGAAACTGCAAGAAAGAGTAATATACGGACGGTTGTGCGCTTCACCACCGGGCTAAACGTCTCGAAAAAGTCTTCGCCCGCAACCTGGTTGAACCCCATGGCTACCAGGCGCACCTTGTAGCGCTCTATGGTGCCATCGGCCTTGCGCTTTGTACAGAACACCCATTTGCAAGACGCCAAGTGTTGTTATGGAGCAAGGCATTGAATTCCTGATCCATGGCATCACGCCACTGCGGGTGCCCAACAGCTTGAGAATAGCAAGTAGGATCTGCGGCAACACTGGACACAGTAAGGGCATGAAACTGCTCACTAGTGCCTTGTGTCATGCGTCGAAGACGCATAACATGATCCTGTTGTTGCGGCTGGGTCCGAGGTCCTCGTCTTTTTGTTGTAGGTGCCAGTGGAATCGCGCCTTCCGGAGGCGGTGGGGGCAGTGGAACAGTTTGTTCACCTCCTGACAGCACGGGACTCGACTCCCAGGGTAAATTGGGCACCGTGACCTGGGTAGCCGCCTGCAGAAAATGACATAAAAAAGGGAAGACAGTCTCGTCAAAGCGGGCATGGCGACAGATATAGGTTTTTCCTGGGTTTAGGTCCATCCAACGGTAACCCCAAAAAAATGGTGGATAACCTAAGGAGACACACTGGGATGACCGGTATTCTATCTTGTGGCGATTATAGGGTCGCAGATAGGGAAATCATAAACAGCCAAACACCGTGAGAAAAGTGTATTTAGGTGTTGACTTATACAGACGAAAATATGGTGCATCAAACTGAAGTGCAGAGGACGGGAGACAATTTATAAGATAAGTGGCGGTTTCAAAAGCATTGTCCCAATGTCTTTGTTGGACGGAAGCTTAGGCCATTAGAGCTAAACCGGTCTCGACGATATGTCTGTGATGGCGCTCCACACGGCCATTTTGTTCGTGCGCGTAGGCGCATGATTGCCTGTGCACGATCCCCAGCGAGGTAAAAAGTTTATGTAAATGAAGGTACTCCCCCCCCCCCCCCCAAATCAGACTGGATGGACTTGATAGAACGTGAAAATGTGCGTTCTATCATAGCTCAGAAATTATCGAATATTTTATAGATGTCGGTTTTGAGTCGTAGAGGATAATACCAGCAATAACGGGTATTATCATTTACGAAGAATACAAAATAGCGAGAACCCTCTGCAAAAACAACGGGTGCGGGGCCCCAAATATCAGTGTAAACAAGATCTAATACATTATAACTAGATTTGAATACCCTATCTAATGGAAACCGAGAGGATTTCCCAAGTTGACAGGACGAACACAAACGAGACACTACATTTTTATTTGACTCAATCGGGCTGTACCGTAAGACACGTTGTAGAGCTTGACTATCTGGATGACCAAGCCGTTGATGCCAAACCACGGGAGAGGCATGAGCCGTGACAAACGCGTAATGTGACTTTGGAACCGGCAATGAGTACAAGCCCCCCGAGCTAAGTCCTTTAAGAAGTACCGCCTTGGTTTTGCAGTCCTTCACAACAAAGAAAGTGAGGTGAAATTCAAAGAAACAGTTATTATCAATAGCAAAACGATTAACTGACAATAACGACACGGAGAGTTCGGGCACGTGTAAAATATTAGATAGTTTTAGTGACTTTGAAACTGACGGGATTAACGCATGTCCAACACTAGAGATCCCCAAACCTGTGCCATTACCCACTCGGAGAACATCGCTACCATGGTAGTCCTCGGAGTGTGTCATGATGGCGGAATCCGGAGTTGCATGCGCCGATGCACCGGTGTCCGGGAGCCAAGCCGTGACCTACGGTGTTGCCCTACCTTCACCAGCTACAGCAACATGAGCCTGCGACGGTGGTGGCTTAGAGTACCTCCGATAACAATACACGGCGGTGTGCCCCTGAGATCTGCAGATCTGACACCTCGGAGCACCGCCCCTGCCACGTCCGCCATGGCTACCGCTGTGGCCCTGTCCTCTACGGGAATGCCGTCCAGAACCACCATCACCTTGCCTTCTGCCTCGTCCAGCATACAACGGCCGAGGGTACTCCACCTGGCATTCCGGTTGCCGCTGACGGGAAATTTTCCGCATGAATGAATTACTGGGCTTGCAGATAATCCTCCAATTGCAGTATGGACACCGGATTGCCGAAAACCTCCAGGGAAGCCGCCATAGCACGAAACTCCAATCGCAGCCCCCGGAAAACATACAGGTTCTGTTCGTCTAGCGTCATGGTGCGGCCGGCCAACGCCAAATCTTCCACCAGAAGCTGTGCACGCCCCAAGTATTCAGCCAATGTGCTGTCTCCTTGTCGCAAGTTTTGAAACTGCCCCATGGGGTTGAGGCATCGGACTCTAGTGGAGGAGCCAAGGGCGATCTCTATCGCCATCCACACACCGCGGGAAGTAGTCTTGCCAACGGCCAAGTGCATCACCTCCTTCGACAAGGAGGAGATGAGAAGTGACAAGATTGAGGCATCTTGTTGAACCCACGCAGCATATGCCGGATTTGCGGTGGGTGAGTTTAATGGAAACAAAATTGTAACACCCCGTGTTACGAATCCTAAAACCAATTAATTAATTAATCGTCTACCCAAAAAGGAGAGAAATAAATCACAATGATTATTTAGCATTAAGCCCACCATGGTCCATGGACCCCCATCCCTAAAGCCCAATACCTAATCCTAGGAGAACTAGACCCCATAACATATAAATAGGGAACTTAGAAGGCATCTAGAATCCCCACCACAATAATCTCTCACCACCCAAGGAGCTCCAAGAATTCCCTTAGGAGAAAGCAAGAAATCAAGAAAGCTTAAAGAAAGATCCTTCATAGCCAAGGAATTAATTAAGGCTAAGAGGTAACCCATGTCTCAACAAAACCTATTTTCATAGTTATGATTTCCCCTTAGGATTTCCCCCATACTATTGTGAATGGCGAGTTTGGGCGATTAGTATTGATGTTGATATAATGATTCCATAATCTTGATAATCTTGATATTGGGAGTTTCTTGATAATTATGATGTTCTTGATGATTAATTGGGATTCTTGATAATTATGTGTTGTTCTTGATAATTGTGTGTTATTCTTGATGCTCATATATTACGCTTACCGAATCTTGTAATTAGAAGGCGAATCGTATTCTTGTTGACATAAAAACGATTAGAACCCTAGGTTGTATCGTGTGCTATGATTCTTGGATTATCGGGTGGGAAATCGCATGTTTGGGTGTTGATTATGTTTAGAAAAGCATGATAGGTTATGTGCCGTTCGTTTCTCGTATTTGATCTGTTAATTGTCTACGTGATGTCATTAATTGCGTTGTAAAGTGTCTAAGCATGGTTTCGGGTTCCACGATGGTTCCCGGGGCGTAAAAGTGATGAAAAGAGTCAGTGGGGGGTAGGTGGGAGGTAGGGGCCCCGCCACCTACCCACTGCCGTAACAGTGCTTCCGGCAGCGGGCAGCCGGCGGGCGGGCAGCTGCCCGCCGGCGACCCGCTGCCCGGAACAGTAACCTCGGCGGGCAGCCGGCAGGTGGCCCCCCACCCACCG